GCTATAGCCTATAGTAAAATTATCAGTTGGGCACTTTTCACTTAATGAACGACCATTGTTTCATTAGTAAAATTCTTAGTGATCTTGGGGCAAAATTGATCAACTCTGGCCCTTCCAACTAAGTTCCGAAGCTCCCGACCCGAAATTTCGGGATCTCCCTGTAGGAGTTGTCGGAAACGATCGTTAATCTGGACATTTTTTTGCCATGGCTAACCTACCTAACCTACCTAAAAAAATTAGAATATAATGCAAAACAATCGGATATGAATAAGGTCCTTGCACTGCATACCGCAGCCGCCGAACCTCCTACTTATTTTGAAATAAGGGATATCTTTCAATGAATCCGGTAAAAGAATCTGGCTGGTCAGTTAAATCATACGAACCAATGAGATTCTGTATTCTTTATTTAATCCATTGAGTGAGTTATTGTGAATGCCCTAAGTAATTCTGAAACCCATTATGGTGATTCAGAATTAATTTATTTCGAAAATAAGTGTAATTTAAAAAATCCTATTCATTTTTGAAATTCCAAAAATAGAAAATGAAATGAGAATTTTTGATTAATTCTGAATCATCCGATTGACTAATATAAAGAGGAGTATATATAGTAAGAAATATAAGCAGCAAATATTTAACCAAAGCCTGTGATTGTTGCAGCAAGACCCAAGACTTTAATACTCGTTCTAGCCTCGATCGTAGCCTACCGACTTAAGGTTTCAAATTTGTTATATACAAAACTATTAGTAGATTTTTACTTATTTTTGACTTTATACTTATGTGATCCCATAAATCACCAGTATAGTTCCGCTATTACTGTAGAACGTATGATATGTATCAGGTACGTACGTATGTAAATGAGATCTTTGAATGATCGTCTGTTTTTGTATTACTAAGTTTTTCTAGAATTACAGATTGTTATCAATTAGAGACACGAAAAATTTGATGTCACAAGCGCATCCAAATATTCAGCCCATATCCAAATATTTAATATTGAGAATTTTCATTAAGAAAAAAAATTTTTTTTAAATGACTAATAAATGATTTTTGTGTTTTATTTGCATTTAATGACTATAAAAATAACAAATGAATCGCACAGTTTAATTTATAATATTTTTATATTTAATCCCTCCCTTTAATTACGCAATATCACAAAAATGATTAGATTAAATTTTATAAATGAGATCCGTAAAAGGAAAGCTTGAATTTTTTATCTAATATATTGTTTTCACGGCACTCAATATTAAATTTATTTTAATAATCATCGAAAACAAAGTAATTTTGCCAATATGATTGGCAGAAATTTATCCAAATCTATCCAAATACGTAATTCAAATATTTGCAATTAATATTTATAAATAATCTAAATGATTTTGATTTTTTCGTATTATTGCTGTCAATATTATGATTACGCCACATAATTAAATATTATTAATAAAATTTATTAACAAAAATCATAAGATTGAAGGTATTTAAGTCATTTGGCTTCATTATTCGTTTTTAACAAAAATAATTTACTTATGGAAGAATCGAAATTACCTGCTTCATTCAGTAATAATAGTTTACCGACTGCATGGGATATTAAAAAAAAATCATTAAATTTGAATGTAAAGTCAAATGGGCTTCGAATAAACTATAAAGGTGAGTTAGTCGGTTACTTACTTTATAATGTACATTTTTATCGCATAATAATTATGATCAGGCAAACTTTTATATCGTTAAAAATTATTAATATGAGCCAAGAGATTGACATAAAATAAAATTGATTAACTATTATTATTTTAAATGTTAATTGTTAGCACTTGATCTAATGTATAGCATTAAGAGTATATAACTTGTTATTTACTATAAATTTTTCGAATAAAAGGCTCCGATGATTATAAGGCTGCCGCTATAATTCGAGCGAATAATCCAGTTTATCCACAGTGCGGGTTATTTTATTTTGAAGTTAAGATTCTGGACAAAGGAAAAAATGGGTAAAATTAATAATCAAATATTATGTCTTGAATCGTCAGTTTATGATTTATTTACGGCCTCTATAATTTTATCTATTATAAGAATGATTGAAGTCGGATTTTGCACAAAGCAAATTAAAATGGATTCAAATGTCACGTCCACACTCAGTAATATTAATTTTTTATTTCAGCTTCAGTTCATATTATTATTTTAACTTTGGCTTAGCATAGTTATAAACTCTTTAGGTCAAGAGAATAATATATGGAGTTATCATGGTGATGATGGATATTTTTATTATTCTGAAAGTGGCAGACCGTATGGACCGTTATATATTGCTGGTGATACTATTGGATGCTATATTAACTTTAAAACTAAGATAGTATTTTATACTAAAAATGGCGTAAATCTTGGTAATTATCATTTTAAGTTTAGGCTTTGATAATAATTATAAATTAATAATGTACTTGATATTTTAAACATATTTTAGGAATTGCATGTTGCTTACCTGACGATTTTAAAGATGCTATATATCCTTGTGTTAGATTAAGATCACAGGGAGCATTTTTTAAAGTAAATTTTGGTCATAAAAAATTTATATATTCAGGTAAATTTAATCAATAATTCATGATGTACCGTAAATTGCCACATAAACCACCCCCCTTCTAGTAGACCAGGGTCTGTTACTCTGATTCAGTGAAAAGTAAAAAGTACAAGACCCGGGTCTATTATGTGGTCACGTATTATACTCGTATTATATACCCGACTTAGGGTTGCTTAATTTTTAATTGGTCAATTATCTTTAACCACACAACAGACTCCCTCATAGTAGACCCTCCACCGTACAGCAGACCCCGGGTCTAAATCAGTTTTTGTATTGGCTTAAAGTAACAGACCCCGGGTGGTTTATGCGGCAATTTACGGTATTAGTTAGTGTTAAAGACCTAACACAATAATATCTATTCTACTGTTTCTATAAATAGTAATGACACATGATATTTTTAAATCTCCATTCGAAAAGACTAAAAATCCACTTTCAGTAAAATATCGAGGAAAGGAATATTTCTTTACGGGCATATACAAACAAACCCTCGTTGATTTAACCGATGAATTAACCGAATCTTTGAAAAATCAACAAATTAATACATCTGGAGCAGAACGTAGATCATTATTTCCATTTCCACGTGCAAAAGAGCCATCTAGTTGTAAACCAGTCAATGCGTTTAAATTATTATATAGAGCAAAAGCTTATTTTATTATGGGAAAATACAAAGAAGCGCTTGTGGATTTAATTAAATCATCAGAAATAAAACCAAATAGTACAATTGTGGATAGATATAATTGCGAAACCTATTATTTGATGCGGAACTTTGAAGATTTTTTTATAAACTTGGATTTGTTGATTAGAAATGCTAGAAAATTTACCAATAATGAAAATCTGCTGCATTTGCAATGGACAGAGAAAAGTCTTGGATCAATTGCTGAAATGTGTGCATAATTAATTTATAAAATTAAAATTTACTATTAATTTATCTATTCGGAAAACTCTAACAATTATATATATATATATATATGGTTAGAATGTGAGTTTAGAATTAAGATTTTTAAATAAAAGTTTTCATTAACTCAAAACCAAAAATGCGATTTTAAAAATCTATATTTGAATTCCAAAATTTTAGTTTGTAAGTATTCGGAATCTTCAATTAAATTTGAAATAAAAGTACTAAGAATTTACATAAATTATTAGAATGTAAGTATTTAAAATAATTACATTGTATATACAAACGCACACTATATTATTAGCAACATAAACCAATTTCTTATTTTTAGGGAGTGAGTATTACTTTATGACCGAAATACATATAAAATAAATGACCTAAACAATCTATATATAATTAGAGAGTGAGTATTCATAGTAATAACATTAAAATTATAAAAATAAAAGTAAATTTAATCAAATTGTACACACATCATATAATTAGAGAGTGAGTATTTAGAATAACAGCTATTAGGATAAAATTTCTTGTCAAATCTTGCTAAATTTCATGTTAATCTTTCACTAGTCGGTGAGTACTCGTCATAAATATCTCATATAATAAGATCCTCAGTAATTATAAACAAAAAGTTACTTGAGTGTGAACGCTTAAAATTCATTTTTACTACTAAACTTTACATTAATTCAAATCAAATATAATAACATAAATCAATTCTAAATTTTTAGAGAGTAAGTAGCTACAGAGATTCTAAACTTAAAAAATTTTATTATTATGATTCATGTCATTCTTAATTATTAGGAAGTGAGTATTTAAACAATTCGAGATCAAAGCTCTACTCAATTTAAAACCAAATATTTAATAATCCATACACATACACATGGAATTCTAGCTTGTAAGTATTCAAATGATAATAGATATTATATTTAAAATAATAAGTCAAAATCTTCATTTTCATTATAAATGACTCTAAAAATTTACAAATTATATTCATATAAAAATTATTAGGCCGTAAGTATTTAGACATAAGACTTTTTAAAAAAGGTATTATAAGCAATCTTACATACAAATCATATTGCTAGAATGTGAGTATTTTTTAAATCAAACATAGTGAATTAAAGGCAAAATGACATAGATATAAATAATTTACGTATTTATATAAAAGCGCTGATCGGTAAGTGCTTAGAGTTGTTAAGATAATAATGACTTATAAAAATAAGCCCTTGGTAATCCATATTAGGAGGGAGTAAGTATTTAAAGCTATAAAATTCAAAATTTTTTTTTTTATTTAAAGCAATAACACTAAATGATATGCTTATGTACACACATTTTAGCCCGTAAGTATTTAGGTCATATCGATTGAACTAATTTAAATGATAATAATAACACATTAAAAATCAAAATGACCAGCTGGTGAATATTTAAATTCATGATATTTTTTTAAATTTAGACCTCTAATATGAAATTAATAATTCTAACAAATCAAACGACTATATTTTAGGAGGCAAGTATTTTAGAACTATAAAATATTTAAATTAAACTCGTATTGATCCAGCAATGAATAACAACTCTGAACAATCGACGTCATTCACAAATTTAAAACAGTCGGTGAGTTGAATATTTTAAAGTAAAATATTTGTTAATCTAAAATAACAACTTTAACAAATTCATAAAATGCGAAAAATTGCAGTCTGTGACATACTTTTTTTTTTTTTAAAAAAAAAAAGAATACTAAACAATCCATATATGCATTATTAGTGAGTGAGTATTTTGGGCTAAACACTCTTAAATATTATATCATTAATTCAAAGTAATATTATATAACATTAAATTAATTATTAGAGAGTAAGTAGTATCATACATATTATTACAATTAAAACCATAATTATAAAGTATTGTAACTAAATGCAATTTTCAAATGAATACATAATTTAAGTTGGTGAGTATTTTAGAATTATTGACATTTTCAAATAAAATTCGTAAATTTGAAAAAAATAAACAAAAAATATTATTAGGGAGTAAGTATTTAAAGTTAAAATTCTTAAAATTAACATTAATTAAAAAACAACACAACATTAAATATAATAATTTGTAATGTATGCATGAAATATCAGTCGGTGAGTATTCAGATAAAAAAATCTTTAAAGACTAAACAAATGACGAAAGACATACCATATTATTAGAGAGTGAGTATCTTAGAATTATTAATCAATGTTTTGTCAAAGTCAGTCATAATTCTAATTCATAATTAATCCTTTGATTCGCATTTTCAGCGATATAAGTAATATATAATAATATAATATTTTTATAATAACTTCAGATTTCAAAAAGAATTTAGCAACTGGACGAGTGGAGATATTGATATTAACAGCTTTATTCAAAAAACACAACTTGAAGCGAGTTATTCAAGTGAAGTTATTGAATGGATTCCTTTCAATAAATTTACAAATATTAAGTTTCTTGCTCAAGGAGGTTTCACTACTGTCTTCAAAGCAATATGGGATGAAGGATATATTTTAAGACCAGCTTACGGGCATGGACAATGGAAAAGAGCGCCACAGATAATGGTTTGCTTAAAAGTCTTAATAATTCTAAACATTTAACTGGAGAATTTTTACAATTGGTAATATCATACATTTTAATTTGCCCATTTAGACTCAGTTACAGTATATAATTCAATATATATATGTATTGCATAGCTGAAGGGCTTCACACAATTCATAATGCCGAACTGATGCATAAAAATCTTCACTCCGGAAATATAGTCAACGAAACTACAATTAGTTCCTTTATTACTGATTTTGGGTTATATAAGCAGGTGTCTCAAAATTCGAAATCCAAAGAAATTTTTGGAGTACTTCCTTATGTTGCTCCAGAGGTATTATATAAAAAAGAATATACACAGAAATCGGATATTTATTCCTTTGGAATAATCATGTCGGAAATTTTTAATGGATACCCACCATACCATGATATTCCTCATGATGAAGATTTGGCAATAAAAATTTGTCGTGGTGATAGACCTAAAATCAATTGTGAAGTTCCTTATCTAATTTTGGATTTAATGAATAAATGCCTAGATGCCGAACCTCAAAATCGACCAACAACTAAAGAACTAGTAGAAACCCTGAAACGTTCTCAGGAACAAGCAACTACAGAAGACGTGAACCATTTTCGATTTTCTACATTGACTACGGAAATAGCTCAAGATGAACAGTCCCAAAAATATCAACAATCTAAATAGCTTCAACAATGCTTATCTCATCAATATCAGCAATATCAAGAATACAATAGGCAATTATCTGAATCCAAATCCAAAAAAACTAGAAAAAGAAAATCAGTGTTAGAGTTGCAAGGTGTAGCAGATGAATACCATCAATACCTACAAAATCACGGCATAGCAAATGGTTTGCATTAAATTACATACTGCAGTAGATAATTATATTTGTTCATGATTTCGTACCTAACAATAAGGTTTAATTTCATTCTAATCAGATAATAAATCTAAAAATAAACATGCTGGAAATACAGATATTATCGGTTTGTATTCAAGAAACGTTTATCAATTTTATATCCTAATAGCCCAATTAATTGTTTTTTTTTTTGAAATTTTAAATCAGAGGAGTGGTTCCATTATCAGACACATAAGCAAGCTATTTATACGAGTAGACTTTTAAATTTTCAAAAACTTTTTGAACCAGTAAATTTAGGTACCGTAATAAAATATTTATACATGTCATTAGTGCATTTTTAAAAAAAAATTTTTTTATTGATTACAATTAATTTTAGTATCTGAAAGAAGAACTATCATTGCTAATACAACCACATTGGAGGATTTTTAATTCCGTAATGTGTACAGTTTAGCTTCAGTAGTCAAGTTAGGACTGTAAGTTGCAGCAAAGATATACAAGAATTAATTGATAATGTTGTATTGTTATTACGAAATTTATTATTATTTTACTATGATCTTTATTATTTTCATTTTACTAACATATAAGTTATATTATTTTTTATAAGTTATATTGTTTTCTTTTTATAATAAGCATTATTATCTCCTATTTACTATAGGTTTTGCTATTTCTTTTTCTATAATTTTATTATATTCTTTTTCTTTTTTTTCTTTTAATTATGAGATTTTATTATTGCTGATTTTTAGTTTTATGAAGACCGTTATTTCCGATTAATTATATTTAATAAATATTCAAGAATATATTGAAAAAATTTATATATTGAAAATTTTATTATCGGCTGGAGCTGAGGGAACCGAGATGGAAGCCTTCAAGCCATACTCTACGAATTTTCGCTTCAATGATCTTGATTTAGGCTCAAAATCCGAAAATTGAAACTAAATCAGGTTCAATTTAGGATACTAAACCGTTAATTTAAAATGTAGCTGCTGACCTTAAAATCATTATAACAAATCTAACAGAGATTTTTTTAGCAAACACATTTAATAAGAACATTAAATAAAATTAAATAAAATTAAATTTTATAGCTGACTTTTAAAATACATGGGGTAAAAAGAAATTTTATACAAACGCATAAATCAAATAAATATGTATTTTTGATCGCAAGCACGTTAGATAAAATTAACTATTTGGTACGAGGTGAAGAAAATTTGTTAAAATAAATAAGAAGAAACTAAATATTGGCCTATTAAAGTGGAAGTAATAGTGAGAGTCGAAATTGTAATAATGTCTCTGGG